TCAACTCAAGGAGACTTAAATACACACACCCAAACTTGTCCATAACCAATGTAGGAACACCCAAACTTGATAAGAATACTCACTACAAACAAAATCTGGAGGTTTGAAACATCTTCCGCTGTATCACAAAACATCTTCCGCTGTATGAAATATTTGTTTCTTCATCTTTTCTAATGTAATAAAATTGTTATTTATGTCAGAAAGTACCTAACATGATTTCCACTTCAACTTTAATGCTAGAGAGGTCTCATTTCGAGAGAAGCATGGCTCTATACTTAATAGAGAGATTCATGTTCACATGAATGGTTGTTTGGGTGAAACTCCACTTGGATTGGAATTGACATGAGATGCCAAATCGAATACCCAATAGTGGGTTCAGACAACACAAATAAGGGAAACATACAATCTAGGGCTCAAACAAATAGATAGAAAATACAATAACGACAAACAAACAACTAGGATTCAAACAATGTAAATATTAAAGCTAGGGTTCAAACTTATAACTCGCTAAACACATAATCCATGACAGCAAATAAAGATAAATAGAGGGAAACAAAGATGAACACGAGCAACGTAACAATAATACTAGTTATCAAAGATAGGGAAGAAGACTCACTGTGGTTAATAATCTACAAGAATTAGCACCATTGACATTCAAGGTGTAGAGCATCATTGAAGAAGAAACAAAGGGTAAGTGACTGGTTTAGACTAGAAGATTTGTAAAAAATCTCCTTGACAAAGCTCAATAATGTGGGGCAACTGGTGTTAGGGTTTGGGAGAGGTGATTGAAGGGTATAGCTAGGTTTCCCTCGGGGTGAAGCAAAGAGTGTGTTGGGAGACACTATTAGAGTCAAAAACAACAAAATAATTTAAAAAATTAAAATAAATTTCTTGTTTGCTAGGGACTAGCTAGGGCTAAATCCGAGTTAAACTAAAAAAAATTCCCACACAAATTTTTGCATGTTTTCGCAAAATATTAACTACCAATTTAGTTAGGGATATTCCCCAGGTAAAGGTTAGCTATGAACAATCCCTAACTAATTCCTAAATATATTGTGATCAAATTTCTAAACCAAAAAAAAAAAAAAAAAATTACTACAAAATTATCATTCCTAGCCAAAAGTAGAGCTAAAAGTGCATATTAGCTAGGGTTTTTAATGTCCCTTGCTCAATTCCATAGCTAATAATAGTTTTTCTTATAGTGAACTCTAATCCACTCAACTATCACCTTATTCATTGATTTCTTAAATTAAATATTTATAATGTGTTTGAAATGTTAAACTGTTGATCTTGGTTCTTTTACTTGTGCAACAGTTCCATTGTTTAACATCCAAATCTTAGATGAATTTTCCCATCCAAACACTCTCCTTTTTGTAACTATTATAGTTATAAAGTGTTCAATCTATGTGGTTGATTCAGCCGTCATTACTTGTTTAGATTTCTTTCAACTGATTATATTGCCATAAACTTAGAGACTATAATTAATATGTCTTCTAGTTTTAATTCCTCACTATCGTATACTGAAAACATATGCTTAATTTTTTCTCAAACACATAAGGGTAGTTTATACGACTATCCAATTCCTCACTATCGTATACTAAAAGCATATCCTTAGTTTTTTCTCAAATACATAAGGGTAGTTTATACGACTATCTAATTATACTCAATAGGGTTGGACTGGTATTTAATCATAACCAATCTTGTACAGATCAATGCATACATTATGCAATTGAATGGAATTGAGATATTTTCTCTCACTCTCCTCCAGTGTTTTTGGGGATATAAACTTGGAAAGATATATGTATATACCATATTCCATAAGTTGGAGTCCAATCTCAAACCTCGCTCTTTTAGTGTCTATCCTATGTATGTAGATTAGAATAACCAAGTATCTAAATAGATTTACTTATAGATCTTTATCCCGTTGTAGAAAGAATTCTTTCAAATCTATTATGGAGAATTATGTATACATTCCTACTTCATCTCGATGAGCGGGATGCCATTGACGCAAAGCCCATGGGATAAATTAATTAAACAACCTCATTGGTGGGTTTAATTAATTAATGAGGTCGTATAATTAGGCCCAACTGTTTAACAATTTCTTCAGCCCAAGACATTAATGAAAATAAATTAAAATAAAATTTAAAATTGTTTGGATAATGCCAATGGGATGACCCGCCACCTTGAGATAAATAGGATCCTCGAGTTTTTAAAATATGATAAGCCTTGAGATTTAATTTTACAAATTGTTGTGAAAATAAAATGAAAGATGATAAGCCTTGAGATTTAATTTTACAAATTATTATGAAATAAAAAATTCCATCAAAACGCTTACTTCTTCTTCTCTTCTTCTTCCATGCCACCTCTACTGTTTTCTCTTCTCTATTGTTTTCTCTTGAGAAGTGAATACGATTTCTCCATTAGAATTTTAAAGTGAGGAAATAACTTCTCCATATATCTAAATCATAAATTGAGGAATACTTATATATATATATATATATATATATATAAACTAATAACTGTTGGATGTATAGATACTTTTAGGGAGAGGATGCTTGAACGAATATGTGAATGTTCTAAAATTACGAATGCAAATTTGGATTCTTCCTTTTTCTATTTCATTTGAAAAGTATCAAAGATATATAATTTTCTTTTTCATTCAAATATTCATCATAACATATTGATTTTGGGGTATTGGTTAGTTATCAAGTATTTAAAAAATTTAAATTTTTAAATTTTTTGCTGCACTAACATCCCCATGCACATGCAAATCTTACAGTGACCTCTGTAATTAGAAATGTGTAGATCAAAATCTAATAGTTAAAGCAAAATGAATCCGATCGTTGAAATATAAGGAATAATATCATAAGCAAAAATATAGTACTATATTATATTCCTGTAAAATATTATTATTTTTTTGTCAAATTATTTACTGTAACAAATGAGAAACTGTCCAATCTCAGCACTTATCCCTAAACCAAACACATCCTTAGTTCAGTGAACTTTTACCATATATATGGGTTGGGAAAAAATGTACGGACATGTTCACATCTTTTTACTGTTTCGTGGGTCAACAATAATTATCTGTTAATATTACACATCTGCTGGTTTCACACGGCGGGGAACTTGAGTAGTTGCAGAGGACAAGCAATCCACATGGAAGAGCGGGAAATGGGGTCCACATCCAGGTGAGACTTGATAAAGAATACGGAAGTTGGCTTCTTTATGACTTCACCAACAAATAAATGCTTTGAACAGGCAGATGGGAAATGGTCAAAAAATAAAAGTAAATATAAAATAAGAAGAGGGTAGATGGGGAAGGGGGATAAGGCCTCCCATAAATGAGAAGACAAGCTGATAATTGTCCTGACACACCATGCACCGCCGCTGCTACTTCTGAGTAAGTAGGAGAACCGGAGAATTTCAATCTTTAGATGAGATTACTAAAAACAGAAGTGGTACTGTTCAACTAGCAGTTTTTGAGGGAATCTTTGTGTCAGCCCGACAAGTTCGACCGAGGCTCCTTTTTGCATTTTAAAAGGGGGATTGGTCGGGTTGTTTTGCGTGTGTTTGTGTTGCAGAGAATTACAGACCAGTTCAGAAGTAGTCCTTGGATTTGTGGTTTCACGCTGGAGCTAGCGTCGGAACTTTTGATCATGGCTTCTTCCTCCGCTTCTTCTTCTAGCCCGTTTTGGAGACTTGTCGGTGCAGCCATCCTTGGAATTCTCTTGTTTTCTGCTTCTTGTTTCTCGGAGAAACGTAAGTTAAGCTGTCCTCCTTGCATTAATTTGTGAAGAATGACTTTATTTTTTCAATTCACCCAGAAGTATTTAAATGTCTAACTTTTTATTTAAATAAAAAAAGTAAAATTAAAAACAAATTCTAAAAACGAGAAGTGGTGCTCTTAGTTGTGAATTGTATTATTATAATTAAGTATAAATTATTTTAAGCTTTTTTATCTAAATTTTTTAAAATTCAAAATTACTCTGTCTTTTTTTAAAAAATAATTTTTTAATTGTTTTTTCTAAAATAAATTATAAAAATTATATTAAAAATATCTAGTTCTCGATTTCTAAAAATTATTTTATAATATATTTTAAAAAATACAATTATAATCTCATTCTATACGCTTCTATTTTTAACTCTCGTGTATAATTTTACATAACTGTTTGCTATTAGCCCTTAGGAAGCTTCTCTCTCTCTCTCTCTCTCTCTCTCATGACAAGGTCATGTCCCTCTTTTTGCTAGGGTGACAAAAGGGCAGTGTGATTGATAATTATGTATTCATTGGAAAAATCGAAAATAGAGATAAATAATTAAATATATATTAGTTATATTTATATCCCTTTCATCTTTTAGGGTTGAAATGTATCCCATCCCACACCCAATATTCCCAATCAAAGCAAGTATCCATCCCTGTCTGTCTATTTTAATGGATATTAGTTATTTAATGCTTAACCAATTGTTTAGACGCTTACCATTATGCCAAGTGTTCGAATTTAGAGAGTACTGTACTGTGAGTCCCTTTTTAAAAATAACTGGCTTCTTTTAATGATTGTTTGGTAAGATTTTCTAAATTGAGGATATTTCGTTGTTCTTTTTCTCATTCATATTTTTTATTTTGTATTTAAACACTTAAAATAAAAAAGTTAAATAAATTTTTCATTTTCATATAAATCTAAAAATTAATTCTAATAATAGAATACTTACAAAGTTTATTCAAAAAGTACTTTTTCATTCTACCATAGAAATTTTATTTTTAAAAAGAAACCAATAAAATAAATTACAACCAATTGAATTTTTTCTAAAAACATAAAGTACTCAAAATTAACCCAATTAAATTTGAATTTTTTCTCGTAGTAAAAGTTATCAGATTCATTCATTATAGCCACAAAAGTCCAAGATCCACAAAGATAATAAAATAAATAAATGATAAAATTAAATATATAGTACTTTTGGAAAAAGAAAAAAAAGGGTACCCAGCTCTGTTAGATCGCGATATGGGAAGTTGATTTCTATACCTTTTGTTTCTCTCTGTGTCTAAAAATGCCGTGTCTGTCCACCAGCTCCCTATCACACGTTCGCCCACGACGCAACCTTCGCTCCCCCTGTGTCATACTACGACTACATCGTCATCGGCGGCGGAACCTCCGGCTGCGCTCTCGCCGCCACTCTCTCGGACCGCGCTACCGTGCTTCTACTCGAGCGAGGTGATCTTCCCTATGGCAACCCCACCATCAACAACATCGCCACCTTCGGCGTCACCTTGTCCGATGTTTCGCCGAACTCCCCAGCCCAGCAGTTTATCTCCACCGACGGCGTCATCAACGTCCGTCCCCGCGTCCTCGGCGGTGGCAGTTGCCTCAACGCTGGCTTCTACACTCGGGCCGAATCAGATTTTGTGCAGCGGGCTGGATGGAACCCGCAGCTCGTTAACGAATCATACAAGTGGGTCGAGAGAAAGATTGTGTTCCGGCCGCCGATGCTGGAGTGGCAGTCGGCGGTGAAGGATGGGTTGCTTGAAGCGGGGGTGTTACCCTTCAACGGTTTACGTACGATCATATTAACGGGACCAAGTTTGGTGGGACGATCTTTGATCACGATGGGCATAGGCATACGGCGGCAGATCTGTTGGAGTACGCCGATCCGAGGAGGATCAAAGTTTACTTGAAAGCAACGGTGCAGCGGATCATCTTCGCTTCGAACGGTGAGGATCAAATATGATATTCTGGTTTTCACATTTTGAAATTACAGGAGGGCTAAGTTTACATTTTGGAAGTGTGAACTTCATGAAACTTAATTTAATAATGTTCTTCTGGCAAAATTATGAAAAAGTCCCCCGTTAGAAAGACTTATCTTTAAAATTATGAAAAAGTCCTCTTCATTTTTTTATTTTAAAAAAATTGGGTATTTCCCGTAGTTATGTATTTTTTTTAAAAAAAATGATTTTTAAAAGCTTTCTCTTAAAGAAAAAGGGTGAAAGGGCCATTATTAGCAATTATTTTCAAAATAATGCCTATAATCTAATTAGTATAGGTTTTGTCCGTGCTACATTTATCAAATCTTTTGTTTTTCCATAAGGGGTAAAATATATTTTGCCCCTTATTATTATGGTAATACTTACTCATTTGAAATATAAATTAGAACAATTTATATTCCTTTATTATGGTAACACTTACTCATTTAAAATATAAAATAGAACAATTTACATTCCTTAAAATTTATAGTCATAGTTAAAAATGACAAACGAATTTAATATGCTTAATTTACTGCAACATCTTTTAACCATGTTCACCTTCTTCCTTCCTCACACAACCAATTATCTCCACCTAAATAGATTTTGCATAAGCAAAGTTTTAAAGTGTAAAAAAATTATTACATTTAGATATTCACATGAGTTGAATTAACATTATGATTAGGGCCTTGTGTGATAGGTCATTTAAGATTTGCATAACATTTGTAAAAATTGTAAATAATACTTTATATTTACATTGTCTCCTATATCATAAGCAAAGATTAAACCTCGCCCGTCCTAAACCCGCATCAATTATTTCAGTTTTTATAAAATAATTACCTTCAATAAAATATCATGTTTACCAATATATATATATATATATATATAACTATCAAATTGCCCCCTTTATTTACCATAATAACCTTTTTTGTTTATTAAATTTGAACTTCTCGATTTGGTGGGTGGATTCGAGCGAGGATTAAAAGTGGGTACTTCGATAGGATAAGGATGACCCTGTTCTAAATCTCTTGTATCACAAGAATTAGAACATATATCATACATCTTACAAACATAGACCACCTTTCTCCGGAAAGAAAATCACAAAGGAGTTAACTATTGATAAGAAAATCTAACCATAGTTAGTGTTTGCTTATGTTTGACCACCCTACACTTGCAGGACAACCAAGACCAAGGGCTACAGGTGTAGAATTTAGAGATGCTAGAGGCAACATGCACAAGGCATTCCTCAACAAGGGCTCATTAAATGAAATCATCCTATCAGCTGGAGCTCTGGGAAGCCCACAACTGTTGATGCTGAGCGGTATTGGCCCAAATTTCAACTCGCGTCCCTCGGAATAGAGGTGTTATTGGACCAGCCCATGGTGGGCCAAGGGATGTCTGACAATCCAATGAACGGCATTGTCATCCCCTCTCCTAGGCGCGTTGAAATCTCTCTCATTCAGGTCGTGGGTATAACCAGGTTCGGTAGCTACATTGAGGCCGCCAGTGGTTCCATCACGGACCATATTGGACCTCATGGGTTTGCACAATTCCTAGAAATGTTTGCCAACAGGGTACGTTAAACATCACCCATCAAGGGGGGAATGGGCATAGAATTATCAATATTGAAAGTGTTATAATATTTGCATTCGACTCCTGATTCTCTCCTTAGATGTTTGACTAACTTAGTTCTTCAATGTAAAAAATAAAAGATAAAACACATCAATATGTAAATTTTTTTAATGATATCATTTTTGCAGACTGGCCTAAACGACACTATGCTTCCCGACAAAGCCAACCAATTCCCAAGTCGCAGTGCAAATGCCGGAATCATCCTGGAGAAGGTAACAGGTCCGCTTTCCACCGGCCACCTCGAGCTCCAATCCAGGTAGTGATAACAACTAGTATTTATTTATTTTGTATTTTGTCTTAATTTTTTTTGTCAGATTTAAATATTTTAAAATTTTTACTAAAATATTAATAAATTAGTAAAAATTATGTAACTTAATCACATTTATTTCAATCAAATTCTTGTCTTGTATCTTAAATTTTCTTGGTAAACTTGCGTTGTCATGTTCATCTTAATCTGATATTTCCAACCTTTGTACTGTTGGGATTTAGGGATCCCAGCGACAATCCCAGAGTCACCTTCAATTACTTCCAGGACCCCCAGGACCTGCAGAGGTGCGTTCAAGGCATGAGGACCGTTATTGAGGTAGGAGTGACAATTTATCTTTTATTTTTCATATTTATATCTTAATCTTAACAAATTTATAGATAACAGTTATGTAACACAAAAATGATATCCTCTCAAATGAGTTCTTGTCATGGATTAACGTACCATGATATCCCTTGTCCAGGTCATAGAGTCCCGGTCTTTCTCCAAGTTTCGGTACCCTGGGTGTCGGTGGAGACCCTTATAAGCCTCATGCTAGGGTTGCCGGTGAACGTGAGGCCGAGGCATCTCAGCGCAGCATTTTCTCTTGAGCAGTTCTGCATTGACACTGTCATGACTATTTGGCACTACCATGGGGGATGCCAAGTGCGGAGGGTGGTTGACCAGAATTATAGAGTGATCGGAGTTGATGGTCTGAGGGTGATTGATGGGTCCACGTTTGATAGCTCTCCGGGAACTAATCCTCAGGCTACAGTGATGATGCTTGGGAGGTAAGTAGTGTCTCTATTTGTTTTTGAATACTGCAAACAGACCTTTATACCCAAGAAAGCATTTTTTTTTAATTATTATTCTGGCTTTTTAAATTTGGAATTCTTTCGTTGTGAAAGTTAATGTGACATTTTGGTGCAGGTACATGGGACAGAGGATTCTGAGGCAGAGGTTCCGTGGTGGGAAGAAGTAGAAAATAATGCAATGGATTTGGCATATGTTAATTATAATGTATAATGTAGACTTGGAAGTGCTAGAACGCTATTTAATTTTATTACCCGAATTCTTGTGTGGTATGTTTGAATGATGAATTGAATAAACGTTTGAAGCGTGAAAATCGCTTTTTCAAAAGAATTATTTGTCTGTTTTAACGAGGAGAGGAAGTAGAAATCTTTTTTTAGAATAGAACAAAGTCTTCATGATTAATTTTAGAAAAATAATCCCTTAGAAGAACTTCAGGTTTTGTATGTAATGAACAAGTG